GTGGGTTAAGGGAAGGTCAGGAGAAATTCTATGGGGACTACAAAGAAAGTTTCAGTGGATCGGGTAGGAGTCCTGCTCACTGAGACGGTAGGTGACCTTTTGTGGGCAGTTGTGCCTTGTCAACGGCGTGGTAAGGCGCCAGTACCCACTTTCGGTAGGCCATTCGGATACTTAGTTATTAAACGTGGAAGGGTTTCCAGTGAGAGCGTTCTTGATATGGTGACAATTATCGTTACCGTCCCATTACCTTTTACTTCATATCATATTGTGTCGTATTTTCCATGGGGTTACACACGTCCAACCACTACCTTTCACAGACCTCATTGGTAGATAACGCTTAGTGAGCAGCTCCACCTCATAACCAGCGTGATCGCATCCTTTAAGGTGAAGCGATGGCCGGTAATGTAATCGGAAGCGAGAAGTGCTGGTTGGATTCCAGTTTGGAGCAAAGTGTTTTACCCACAATTCAAATCTTGTGAAACTTCGCCACTGCGACATTAAAACAGCACTTAACGAACAAAACAAATAAGTCAAGAATGTTCTGCAAATATAAATCTCTGATTGTATGTATTATTTGTAATAAGAGCGAAGGGGGCGGAAGTGGTGTAGTGGCAAGTGGCACGCTTACCACGCGAGCGGTCCGGGGATCAAATCCTGGGTCGTGAGTCGCCCGGGCCAACCAAGCCTTCCATCCCTCCGGGGTCGGTTAATTGGTACCAGACTTGTCTGGGAGGATAAAAACACTGACTTGTACATCGGCTGGCCCCGCAAGTCATTGTATAGGCCACATCGCATTCAAACGCCACTACGAATGTACAAATGGAAGTAGAATGCGTGCCGCATCCCAAAAAGGGATTGATCAACGGCAAATGCTTTATCCTTTATTTATCTTTATGAGCAAACCTATACATGGTATATATGGATTGTTTAGAGTTTGATTGATTGGAAATTATCGAGTCGAGATGGTTTTATTTCCCCTCAATATGAAACACGTTTTCAGATTATTATAAGTGTTGTGATGGGCGTCGCTAGTGTTCAGCTGATCTTTGGTGCGATTAGTCGCATAGCAGCTGCTTATCAATTCCACGTGCATGGTAGGTATTACAATTTTGACAAAGTAGTAGTGGTTCTGTAAAATAAGTGACCATGGCGCTGGGTTCTACTGCGATAGTAATGCTAGTCGCCGTGCATCTGCACGCTCAGTGTCCGAATGCTGCGTACATCCTTGTTCCCGAGATTGCACTCATAGGCTCGGGTATGCCATGCTTGTGCTTTAAAAAATTCCCCAGCCAGTATAATATTTTTCGTGTGATCAGAGAATTTTCAGGAGCTGAAGGGTAATTTGGCTACCCAACGATCCCCCAAACTCTTAAACACGGAATAAAGGAACAAAAGGGTCTATGCGGGTCAAATTCACCTAGCGGAGAGGGTTTTTGACCGGAAAATGTTCTCGGCAGTATGGTATACTCTGAGCTGAGCGCAATAAGTTGGCTGGTTATTAAATTCTCTTTTGTTTGATACTTCATTGTAGGTGTTGGTGAGAAGCCTACGCTGGATGTGTCGTTTGTCTCCGCATCGATTATGGTTAGCACGGTGATTGTGAAATTTTCACTCTTTTGCATATGTCAGAAGTGAGTATTTTCTTTTGTCACATCGAGTTTACCTTTCCTAATATTACTAACCCCACTTACTAGTGAGTATCTTCGCGACGAGTAACATCATAAAGGGTTTTTTTTATTAATGTTCAAGGTATAAATCGGATCCCTCAATAGCCGTTCTCGCCATGGATCATAGAAATGATTGCTTGTCGAATACGGTGGCTCTTGCTTGTGCCTGGCTTGGTACTGTGTGAGTGATAAGAATTTCCTGTTCTTTTCTATTTGGTTGCAAGAGTGTATTGTTCGTATTATAAATATTATTTGTTCTGCTTTGTAAATGGTGATACATTTGAAGATATTGGTATTACCTCGATCCGATTGGTGCGATTTTGGTGTCCCTATATATTCTCTACACGTGGGTGAGCACTGGTTGGGATCATTTGTCAAAATTGAGCGGGAAGTCGGCTAAGCCAGAGTTTATCAATCGCATCATAAAGGTGACCTTTTTTATACTAATTTTTGGTTATTTTTATTTCTTATAGTCATTACACTGTACACTGCAGTTACTTCGATTCTGCACTTTCCTATCCTTCAGCTTCTTCAACTCTCCACTTTCTAACACCTTAACGACATCGCACTTGTTTGACTTTTCGGGCGCGTGGGCGTTAGATTTTCCAAACGCGGCTGTCGTGATTCGCGGGCAATCTCGCTGTCCCACAAGGTTTTTTTTTGTAGAATGGAAGTAATCGAACCTGTGAGAAAGTTAGTTGATTCATAGTAGAAATGTTCACAGAAGTATAATTGGGGACAAAAAATTGGCATGATGACGCTTGTCGGGATTTCAAGTTCTCATCTTTAAACAGACATTTCAATGTGCTAAAATACTTACGGTTAGATTTGCTGATGTATTGAAGACTAACCTCAGGGAAGTCGGAAAGGCCCACTAATAATGAGGAAAAGAAAGAGCAAGTAATGATAGTTCGGCAATTATCTTTTGCATAATGTCCAACAGCAAACAGAAGGAAAATCGCTTGATTGTGGCAAATTTTCAGCGTGGTTAGGCGATGTTTAGCCTAGAAACCTACTTATTTCGAGTGGCGATCCACGTGTACGGTTTGAAGTGGTTTTCAGTTAATCGATGGTTCCCTGAGGTTCATTGGTTTGAATCTTGTAGCGTCAGATAGAGATGAGAAGCCCATTTCTTCGGTCGAAGTTCATTAAGGAGAACGTGCCAAAGTCTCAGTCGTTCTTTGTTCGTACACGTATATATATACCCATAGAACTCTTGCTTTAAGCATTCCTTTCCTCTGCTTTCCAACCACCCAACTGGCTCGTAGGTTACTGTTGTTCTTGCTACCAACATTGTTTCTTAGTATGTGGTGTACTGTTCTGCTTGTTTAAGTTAAGTCGACCTGAAAAAGGGCTTATGTTCTAAACGTTGCCAATGAACTCGGAACGAAAAGGAGAGCCTCTTATCTCTATCTGATGCTGCATTGTTTTCGGTAGTGTTGTGTCTGTAAAAGTAATTCAAGGGTAATATAGTCGCCTAATCTCTACCAAGAAAGGTGTCATTGTTTTGAGGGGGTGTACATTTGCAAACTCGCTGTAGTAGATAAAAGCAATATTATATAATCCATATATAGCATTAAGAAAGTCGAAAACTGAATGTGTAAGTGTTGGAAATCGGTTGTTGAGCTAAAGCTTATCGTCCGAGACCTGCAGAGCATGGCCTGCATGCGAATCACGTCCCCTCAAAGTGTTAATTCTTGCCTCAACGCTTCCATTTTTCTCTCATATGGAGTTCATATGTAAGCCACACCAATCGACCATATATTACATTACATTATATGTAGACGTACATACGCGGAATCTTCAATTTTACTCATTGAACAAACAGTAAGAACTGGTGCTGAGCATGGCGCATGGCATGTTCTCTAATCAGATAGTTCTCCCTGCTTTTTGCATATCACGATGCATTCAAGCATCCCATCCCATGAGTCAATATGCATGTTTGGGTGAGCTCAAATGTTTGCCCTAGTTTTGTTGCAACTTTCAGATGAAGCTGGATAGGTTTTATAAAGTATAAAATGACGGAGGGATGTTGAAGGGAACCAATTAATATTTGATCACACAGTAATCTAGTTTGGCAAAGAAGCATGGTCACGGTCACGGTTGTGAATTCAAGCTCCAGGCAGAAACCGAACCCCCTTTTACAACATATCAATGACTACCTTTTCGGTGGGTCTAGGTGAATGTTCCACACAATTTTCATGGCTTTGCTTGGATGGAAGGACATTGTAAGAATTTGAGAGCGACATGTACCATTTAATTTTCCTGCTAGTGCTTAGTGACTGCGTTCTCAGATACAGCTATTTCAAGTCGTCGTAATTAATTCAGTACGAAACGTAAGTTCTCTATCCGAAGCCGCGTTGATTCATTTTCAGGTGTGTATAGATCACGATCCACGAATTTCTCATCTTGACACAGTCTATGTATATCATTTTGGTACTAAATTTTTAGTCGAAGTGAGTTTACCTGTCTGTTGTGCTGGCGTCAGTTTTATGATCTCAGTTATGTTGAGCTACTGGTTCGGTCACTAGTATTTTGGTAGTGTGTGTTTCAGGTACATAGTGCTAGACGAAGATATGCCATTGAAAGTTGCGCATGATATCAGTGAATCGCTGCAGATCAATATTGAAAGTCTACCTGAGGTATTGAACATCTTCATTTCTAAGTTGTTGTTTTTTCTTACAGCACTGTCCCGTACCCTCATAAATCCTAGCTAGCTGTAGCATAGAGTACAGAAATGTGCAGCATTTTTTGAAAATGAAGGATCAACAGTGCTTTAATCACTGGCGTCAACAGTCCTGCAGCTGACGAGAACTCACGTTTAAACAGCTTTAATCTATTTAGCAAACAGTAGCAAAATGCCTTGAAGCGTTCAACATAGGTTTTTGTTATCAGGCTGATGATAGTAGTATCGTTTCTACTTGAATATAAATCTTTCCTATGAGGTCTCAGCTCTTCACTTAGTGCTATATATCTTCAAAAGCGAATTGTCTGCTCTACAGAAGGCATTGTATCTCTTCTATTTTCATTGTGCGCTTACTGAGTTACCGCTTTGAAGAATGGGAGATGTAGTGGACGAAATGTAAGCAAACCGACAACTAACCTGATATCTACGTTTCCTCCACAGAAATCAATTGGTAACTTACCCTTTTGTTCAACACAACCTTTTCTTGAGATTTCACTAGATAATCCGGGTGGGCGTCATATGGCGCGATCCCATTGGCATTGGAGCGCACAGGCCGTAATTACCACATCCTGCTGTGGCCGGACAACTCGTCCGCGCAACACATTCTGTTCCGTTCCTCTTGCCTTGGCATCAGGCCAGCGAAGCTATCCGCTCTTTTTTAGATCTTTGGGACTCAGCGAGATTTTGAGACCCAAATTATCAGATCGATCAATTACTGAAGTCTAGTAGTTGAGTGATACGGACGAGTTGTCCGGCCGCAGCAGGATGGGGCAATTGCGGCCTGTGCGCTCCAATGCGAATGGAATCGCGCCATATGACCGCCTCCCGATAATCCTCCATCGAGTCGTTTCATTCTTTTTTTTGCAAAGGGTTATCTCCAGAACTTGATATTTGACCGCTATTTCGTCGAATCTAGACCCAGAAGTTTTCATCGCCTAGACATTGAAAACCTTACAAACTGCTTAGGATTAGTTGTACCTGACCAGGAAAGGTCATTAGGCCAACCCGGCCAAATGAAATGAGGTGCACATTTCTGTACGCAGCATGAGACGCTGAACTCAAATCTGCTTTCACTATCTGCTGAACTCTTCTCTGAAAGGAGTTACGGAGGGTTTTTGTTGCCGCCCTTGATTTTCAGTGTCTTGCCTGCAATCACATGTTAGCCGCATTATAAAAGTATCGAAAGGAGAACCGAGGCGGTGAGCTTCGGTAGCGCAGTTGGTAGCGGTCTTGCTTCTCAAGTAGGGGTCGCGGGTTCGGTCCTTACGGGGTTTGGTGTTTTGCTTTTTTTCCAACATGGCTGAAAAGCCTTTTTGAATCCGTTATTTTATCAACGGTCGCCCGACGCTACATCTACGAAGAGTTTGCAAGCAGACCCTCTTAAATTTAAGCACTACTTGTCTGTGAGTGCCCATGGTGCCCGTAGTGCAGGTGCTATGCTTTTCCGTGGCAAGTAGGTACGATATTCGTATTCAGGGGATCAAACTACCCCTAAAAACGAGTTTTTCGCCAAATCTGAGGTCATGAACTAATTGAGAAAAAGCGGAGCAGTGATGGGATTACCACTCCTCAAACTCCACTTTTTTGGGTTGACCAATCATGGACGACGGGGAAAGGGGAGAGAAGGTGTTGTATTAGGAAATAATGCTTTGCAGATCTTTGGATGATGCAGACGGGCAAGCCAGACACAATTTTTGTCTATTATGAAAAGTGTTTAAAAGGTTTATTCTACCCAAGTGCCAGCCTTTTGTAATGGATTGGTGGATCGGTGAGTAAGTGACTGCCCAAATTTTCGAGGTTAGGTCAAAATTTCAGAATTCGCTAGAAGTTTGCTCAAAGGGAGAGTCTGGCTCCCTGATTACGAATATCATACTTGTTCGAAGCAAAAATGCCTGGCGCCTGCGCTACAAGCGCCCAAAGTAGTGAGGAGCGATGCCGCCCAAGTTCGTTATTAATTGCCCTTAAATTCTTTGTACTTAACTATACGCAAGCATGTTGGACTAGCGATGTTAGGAGTCTTCCTAGCTATCTTACTGCAAACGGCAAAAGAACAAACTCGCCAGGGAGTTGATCCCCTGACCTCTTTTTCGTGAGCCTCGACCACAGCCCCTGCGCTTTTCTGCTTCATAATTCCTTTCAGAGAAGAGTTCAGCAGATAAGGAACACATATTTGAGCTCAGCGTCCCAAGGCGCGTATACACATATACATCTCATTTCAAATGGCCGGGTTGACCAAATGACCATTCTTGGTGACTGCTGGGAATATCACCGACAAATTTTTCTGCATTTTTTCAGAATTTTTTTTTTTGTGAAGAAACAGTGTCATTCGCTTGGTTTTCTGCGGCACTTGATTACGTGAGCCTAAAATTTTTACCAAAATCATAGCGAAGGGATAATCAAAATATGACTTCGAGTAGAATAGAAAAAAGCGCTCTCGAATGATCTATGGAGTTACCTGAGTTAAACCCGTAATAACTTCGCGCTGGAAAAGTTGTGGTATTAGAGAAACGCCATCTCTCTATCCTTCGTGGGCGGTGTTCATCCTCATTAGCGCGGGTCATTTCCCATCTTTTTAAAGGTTTGAAGTTGCAAAAAAGCAACGGGCTCAGGCTGAGGTATATGGGAGTTTACCTGAGTTAACCTTGATGTTTTGTGGAATCTCGCGCGGAAAAAATTTGCTGTGTATAAAAAAATTCGACTACTCTAGAACTACTGGAGCTCATCAAACTGGAATTTTAACCCGAAGTCGCTGGCAAAGGAAAAATCGTCTTACCGTTTGGATTTTTTTTTTCGGCCTGTTAGGAGTGTAGAGTTTGAGTTGTTGTCGGTAAATTTCATCTAGTGTACGTCACACTTTACTGAGGTGCGGTGCATTTTGTAGAGCATGCAATTCACTTTCGAGTGATACTTACATTATGTGGAAAGCTGGGATCTTATATGGAAAATCTTTAAAAAAACCTTATTCATCGCACAACCTAATAAACTGTGCGGCGCGAAATATTTTGAGAGGGTCGCACGTTGCCTGGCACGTCAATAGCTCGCAATCTACATGACTAAATGGCTACTTCATGGTCAATGATTTATGCGAATTCACTTAGTTTGGATAGAAAATAATTTTTCTAAATGTTGCTTGACACTAGCATAGAAAACTGTCGAAGATTGGATTTTGTAGGTGGAGCGTGCCTTTGTTCACACCGATTACGAGTACGAGCACCAACCTCAAGACGAGCACAAAATTGTTTAACCGTTAAAAAAGTTGTTGTTTTAGTCACTTTCTCATTTTTTCTTGACATTCACTTGTTTTTCCCAAAAAAACCCATAGGTTTTTCGATTTCTTTTTATTTTCTAGCATTTTCCCAGTTGAGTCTCCACCGTTTCTTTTCGTGATGCATTTTAGTCTGGTCTGATCGTAACCTGTGCGTTTTAATGTCTATACATAATTTCTGAATATACATAATTTATGAATAACTTGCATAATAATTGAAAGTGCCTGATATGCACGAAATCCTCTTGATCTGATGCGTTGTTTTACTGACGTTCTTTTTTTTACCCTTTTCATTTTCCCTGTAAGTAGTGTAGGTGTTGAGGATCACTCGATAAGAATCACCTCAGTGAGAATTATCTCGCTCAGTTTGGAGCTACCCCGGTTGTTTCCTAGTAGTTTCGTAATAACTTTTGATTATTACCAGTACCATGTTTCCATCGTCAACGAGTTGATGGCGACGTCTGAAAAAGATTCGGTTTTGTAGTATAGTACTAAATTAAGACGAACAGACTTTACGAGCGAATGGTAACAATTCCGTGTTTTATAGACATTAATAGGATAGTGGTAGAGTTGATTCGGGTGAATAGTCATTTTATGATGGAAATTCTTCTCAATTTTTCTCTTCAGTTGAAACATTTTTAGTAAGAGTTGTAATTGCTGTCGATGAGTCCGGCATCCCGTCTGGGCTGAACTTTATGAAAATTTTCGCAACTGTAGCTAATTTTAATAAAGGCATCATTTTGTACGAGATTGGAATGTTACGTGATATGAGTTTTATTGCTTACGAAAACATCTTATAGCATCTGGGGACATCTTCGATTCTCGGCAGCTAATATTCCGGCTGAAAGGCTACGTCCGGGATCGAACTGATGTATAATTGCGCTTGCGAACGAGATGGTGGAGAGCTAGTGTGACGCCAAAAATGGAAAACGGGAAGAAATCGTAGACAAGGTAGAAAATAAAACCCTCCCTTCAGTGACAGCAGAGGAAATAGCACTGATTAGGGGCGGGCTAAATGGTGTTATGCGGCGGCCAGATGCAGCGTCCATAGCGCTCAACGAAAAGGAGGCCTTTCTGAGCTAACCATGCTTTTTCAAAACGGGTCTTTGCATATTGTAGGGACGCCTCTAGAGAATACAAAACCATGTTTTATTCTCGCTGAACGGTTTTGGTAGTACCAAACAGGAAGCATAAGGTACTGTTGAAGGTTTGATCCTCAGTGGCGATTAAATTTTGCATATGGGGATAATGGTCGAGGAAATTCTCGACAGGGGTCGTATTTGCTCCGATGAGAGATAGGCGGTCGTAAGCACAAGGTTCATCAACATGCACAACGGGTCGTGTGGAGGGCAACGGACCATTGATTCGCTAGTAATCCAGTAATTTCACCCCAAAAACAAAAAAAACAAGTGTTTTAGTCAGCGTAGTGCAAATGATACCTTCATCTACAGTACTCGCCGTTTGAAATCAAAAATTCACGCGAATAACGCGAATCCTCGTTAATTTCGTGAATTCGTTATAACTCGGTTCAAAATTGAGCTTTCGAGAATCCGAAGATATCTTTGAATTCAGCTCGTCGGACACTATAAGAATGTGCTTTGATACTTTGGAAAAGCTCCATATAGGATTGCGCCATGCACTCGATTTTCATCTCAAAAAGTAGTTGCTCGCATGTGATGTGTATATAATCCCGCTTATGCGGGCTGACCGCTACACACAGAGAAGGCCTCAAAACTTACCTCCAGAATGCGCCACGTACGCGCCACTGCGCCACGTCTCATCCACTACATTGCGAGATTAGATGAATGTTATATGCCGAATTCTTAGATATTTATTTCGTTTTTGCGCTTACTGGCTTTACGTGTTCCCTCTGCTCTCAATATCCCATCCTCTGTATATCAAGTGGAATCTTTGAACAGTTCTCAGCAGGCATAGTGGGCCTATTATGTGACATTTTCCATTTTCAGAGGAGATGTTTTGCAGAAAGCTGTGAAGATAGCGAACAATTTCCTTCACTGTCGTAGACTACGGTCACTTGTCTGTAAGGATTATATGGAAACCTTGGTCGCAAGTGAGCGTTCCTTCCGTGGTGTGGCCCCAAACATGCCTCCTCGTCATGCCCTTGTGGAATGTTCAGATTTTTTGCATTTCCAGATGAACTCGCAGACCTGAAATGTGCCCCGTTAGCTTCCCCCGTGAAAAATGCTATCGAATGATATGCATTACTTCCCCAGTTGAAACTTTGGTTTTTCACCGTTTTCAGCCTTCCCCTATTGCCGGATTGGGCACTATTATCCCACGATTACTGCCCCAAAATTTCAAAGATTCATTTTTTTGTTCGAAACTTTGCTGTTAGGGGTAATTCGATGCCCTGATTACGAATATGACATTCATTTTTGATGCTGGTGTCATTTGGCGCCAAACGTTTGGCGCCAATTTGGCGCCACAGCTGTTTTCACCAAATCTGCTGAAACTTCGTCATTTGGGGTTATTTGGGGTCCTAATTACCGATTAATCGGACTAACCCGTTTTCCGGCTGCTCGGCGCCACTCATGCCGCGCCGCTTTGGCGCCAACTCTGGCCCGCACCTATCCGCGCACCTCGTTTCCACTTAAGCCTTCTGAAAACGTGTGTATAGGGGTTATTTAGGGGTCCTGATCACGAATATAACATCCAGTCTTGACGCCGGCGCTATGTGTGTCACAAACAACACTTCACATCCAGTCTTAGGCACCTTTCTCAGAGCGCCGACTGTCAGACCGTGGAAAAGGTCATCGAATCGGACTTTCCCACGACAGGAAGGAGCCAGACCGTGGAAAACTGTGAGCTAAGCCAGAAGCATATTTCACGTTTTCACTGGAGATGCCTGTATGCGTTGGGCAGAGCAGCAATTCGACTGTAAGCTCTCCAGCTGCCACTGAGGATGGTAGTACCGTGCTCGATGTACTACTTCATGATGAGCCGCAGTAGAGTTGAAACGTCCTTCCTTCGGACCATCCGAAGGAGTCCACTTCCTCTTTCAATGCCTCCAAACACAGCCACTTGTGCCTTGCCTGCCGGTCAGTATACCCACGGTCAGTCGGCTGTCGTCGTAATTTTCTGATCTCGCTGGTGTTTATGATACTCAATGTTCCACTCACCTCGCACTCGAACCTTCCGATAATGATCGGCCGGCCGTGGGTTTAACTCTTCCTGATGAGTGCCTAGCCCCACACTATCGCTACCGCGCGAAGAAACGGCACTCCCACTTAAATTAGAACTGGCTCTGAGTGGGTCCGCCGGTACTTGTGCAAGCTTATTATCCAATTTCGGCTACACACTCTTTGGCGAACGTTGAATGCTCGATAATACTCCAGTTCGGGCTTGTCCTTCACCATATGCACACCTGTTCGGCTGCAGCAGAAATAGCCAAGACCATTATTTTGGGAGGGCAGTGCGAACACCGTGGACTCAGGAAAGTTACAGTTCTCGAAAAAGGAATCCTTTCGGGCATGAACGTAGACCCTGGTCTCGTTCGACGGTCCAGTGCGGCACGCTCGACGATTGCAAATCCAGCCGTTGTGCCGTTCGTCGTTGATCAGGCTCATGGATCGTGATAATGCTACATCAGGCATCGCAGTGCACACAGACATCAACGCCCCACTTGGATCGAATCAAGTGGCTTTGATTTCCTCGTTAATGTGCAGCCATTTAATTACTTTCGTGAGCCGTCTCAGGTAATACGTCCTTATTGGCTGAGTACTCTGTGAGCATAAGGCATGCTCTATGACGATTGCTCGTCAGCTAAAAGTTTGGGTGCAAGAGCCCATCGTTATTCTCCGTTGTCGAAAACGTGAAACATGCTTCTGGCTCCTTCCTGTCGTGGGAAAGTCTCCGATTCGATGACCTTTTCCACGGTCTGACAGTCGGCGCTCTGAGAAAGGTGCCTAAGAGTACGCTCTGACTGTGAAGTGTTGTTTGTGACACCACATGGCGCCGGCGTCAAGACTGGATGTTATATTCGTGATCAGGACCCCAAATAACCCCTACACACGTTTTCAGCGGATTTGGTGGAAACAGCCGTGCGCCAAATTGGCGCCAAACGGCGCCAAATGGCGCCAGCGCTGAAAACGGGTGTCGTTTTCGTAATCAGGACCCCAAATAACCCCAAATGACGAAGGTTTCAGCAGATTTGGTGAAAACAGCTGTGGAGCCAAATTGGTGCCGTTTGGCGCCAAGTGACACCAGCATCAGAAATGAATGTCATATTGTGTTCGGGCAAATTCCGACGTTGTGAAAACAGGGGTCACTATTATCGCAGAATTTACAGAGGAAATCTGCGCGGCTATAACAGGCAAAAGTTTCGACGAAAAATGAATTTCTTTTGAAATTTTGGTATTGCTCAGCTAATCGATAGGCGAGTAGTGCAATCGGCAATTTAGGGCGAAATGCTTCTCGAAAACACACGTGTAACTGAGAGATACCAAACATCTCGAAGCTGGGGGACCGTAGGGAGTTAGTATCGATTCGATCAGCATTTTCACGGAGAAGCTAACGGGGGGCATTTAGCTGTCTGCGAGTTACTGAAATGCAATGAGAGATCTGAACTTTCCACTTACCGCGACATGACGAGGAAGAGAAATGTTTTTTGCGCGCCAACAACCACGCGAAAGAGAGTAACACGCTAGCACACTTTTCGGACACCGCCTGGCCTTTTCCTCATGCATCTACAGACAAGTGAACAGTGACTCTACGACAGGTGATAGGAGGAATTTCTTCGCTTTTTTTACAGCTGTGCTACAAAAACATTCCTCAACAAATGGGGAGGTTGTCCACGTAATCACGGATTTTCTTTTCTTTGGCTCTCTTTTTTGTTTTTTTTTTTTTTTTTTTATTTTTATGTCTTTTGTGATTGGGTTCCTTATTAACCTTGCTGTCTTCTTTTTTTTCCCCCCTGCAAATTTCTTGTTTTTTTTTTTTTTTTTTTTTTTTTTTTTTTT